GAACCAAGCTTGGCTCCTAACTCACAGCGCTTGTAAAGCCAACTTTTCTTTTCCAGTTGATGCCAAAAGGAAAACTAGAGCAAGAGCTATAGAGCAGGTACAGAATACATTTATAAAGCAAAGCAAATAAAGACAGGGAAATGAGGGTGCTGGAATAGACTTCAAAACGTTCATTGCTCATTTCCTATGCCTACAGCTGGACAAGGGGAAGTGGTTTCATGAAAATTAAATTGTGCCAAGGGCTTTGGCTTGTCAGCCTTGATAAATGTCTAATGCAGAGAAAGACTCCAGTACCATCCTAGCCCTCCAGAATACATTGCAGGAGGCTTTGCGGATCCCCGAAAGGTCTGAAAATCATCTACTTTTTGCTTGCAAATGCTTTCAAAAAATTAGACCCACTCCCCCACTTTCTTATGAAACCTATTTGGTTCATGTAAATGAGGGAAAGTTAAGAAAAAGTCCTCTTGTTTGTTCTCTTGCTAATATTGAGTCATAGAACCAAGAAGACCGCTAACCGTAAAGTGTGCTGGGTCGGGTTTTCTACTGATTCTGTTGCTTTTGATTCAAACAGTCACAAGACTTTAGGATCATTTTCAGAGCACCGGCATGAGCAGGGCCGAAATGAAAATCATTCTGAGATAATGAACACTCCTGCTCAGAAATCATTATGGGCTCTGCAGTGCTGGGGAGGCGCTGAGAACGGAGAGTTAACAGTTGCCTCAAAGGAGTTAGTATTCAGTGATCAGTCCCTTTTCAGGATCCCAGACTTTCAACTCTTGAGGAATGTTTGTCTGAGCTGAGTCAATTCAACAAGTAACAAGTGTTTTGTTTTGTTTTTTTCTTCCTTCCTAGGCCACAGCCCTTTAAAAGAACTTGATTAAGGACTGTGGAGTTTTCACCTTGTTCAGTTTGGAGGCAGAGACCTCCAAAGTAGCAATTTGCTTTCTCCTGGCAACAGAAAGCTGCTTTCAGTTCATGGGGTTAGCAAACTCTGGCCCAAGGGCCAAGTCTGGCCTGCTGCTAGTTTTTGTATGCCTGTGTAACAGGTTTTTACATATTTAAATGGCTGAAAATAAAAATCAAAAGAATAAAATTTCATGACATGTGAAAATTATATGAATCACACTGCCGCTTTTTCATTAGCCATAAATAAAGTTTTATTGGAACACAGACACATTATTCATTTATGTATTGTCTGTGGCTATTTTCACACTACAGTGGCGGAGTTGAGTAATTGTAACAGAGACCTTATGCCCTGCAAAAAATCTAAAATATTTACTATTTGGTTCTTCACAGAAAAGGTCTGCCGCCCCCTGGCATATAGGAATGGAAGGCATCGCTTCCCACCAGGAGCCCTTTCACTGGAGGATGCCTGGCCACAAGGTGCAGCCCTTGTTACATGCAAGGATAGTTGTCTAACGCTCTGCTTGATAGGATGATTGAGTAAATTCAAGAAAGTGATAGTCCAGAGAGATCCCACTGAAATCATATTTCTTGGTATCTAGATGACCTAGGAGCCCTGGTGGCATAGTGGTTAAGAGCTTGGTGCTTATCAAAAGGTTGGCAGTTCGAATCTACCAGCTGCTCCTTGGAAACCCTATGAGGCAGTTCTACTCTGTCCTGTGTGGTCACTAAGTAGGAATCGACTCATTGGCAACAGGTTAGTAACAGGTTAGTTTAGATGACCTTGGTTAGATTTATGACATTTGATTAAATCTGTCAGAGTATATTTTTAGTAGTCTTTAAGACCGGTCATTAACTGGGGTAATGCCTATGCTGGCCTTTTCCAATCTCAACCTGCCCTTCCTCCTGCTTACTGTCATCTGAGTCACGTGAGAGGTTTCAGCCTATCTATTTTCAAGCTCTGGATAGCAGAGTCTGATCATCAGCTTGGCAAGACAAGTAATGGGCTGGCCTGTGGTCAGACTGGTCAGCTGTTCCTCCCTGGCATGCTTCTGCGTCTGCCTGACTGCTGATGTCTGGACGAGTGGTCACAGGCCATCTGGGAATTTTGATACAGGATGCCAGCCATATGGAGGCTGGAAAATGCTGGATTGATTAATGACATGTTTCACTTGTGGTCAGAATAGCTCATGGAGGGCAAATTACATTACCCATCACTCACCTGGATACTCCCTGAAACTTCTTTTAAATAACTGCCCCCATCTCATTCTCACCCATGGTGATGAGGAGGATACTGGGAACATGGTAGATGCCTGTTGATGCAACAGTGTTGTTCTAGTGCCTCGTATTTCGAGCTGGCATGCAGAGTATGACCTCATAGCAAGAGTTGAGGGAAAGGGCTCTTTTTGACTACTGTCACCATCGTCCCTCTACAAATGAGCATAGTCAGGCCTTCTCAAATGATTCATCTTTGCTGCCCTAGCCAAGTGCCACTCTCACCTGTTTTTCCCCTTCTCCCCCCAAAGCCCTGAAAACTCATACAGATTTCAAAATGCTCCAAACACCTCCCTCACCATGACTAAGTAATACAGTGTCAGAGGCAGCCAAAGGGCATGAGGAACGTGTTTCCCACCTCAACCAAACCTAAAAGAAAGACTGCACACAGAGAAAATGCCCTCCTAAATACTAGACTTAAATCTGTGAAATCAAAAATCTAACTCAAAAACTGATTTTAAACATGTAAAGTGTTCATTTCACTGCCATCATTTCTCAAGAGTTTAATTAGCTCTTACATGGCCAGCTGAAGAGTCTCTTTTTATTTAAATATGGAGAGGAGACTGTGAAGACTAACCAATCCTGCAGATTTCTTCTTGTAGATGTGCAGACACAGCCTGATGGAAAAGGGCTGTTTGGCTGGGAGAATTCACAGGAGTGTCTATGACCAGTCAATGAGTATAAACTCCACACCTCTTCCAGGGTTTTTCTCTAAGAAGAGAACACCAGTTGAATTTGTGAAGGTGTCCCACTACTTTCTGTGACTTCTCGTTTCCTTCCCTCTTCATTTTTCTCTGTATGATGTCTATGACTGTTAGTTTTCCTTCTGCAACTGTCCAGTTGTCTGAGGGGAGGAGCTGATCTTATTCTGCTTTCTCTCTTTCACACAGTTGCAAGGAGAGTGCTTAGCACATAGTAGGTACTCAGTGATACCTGTTAGGTGCTACATGTGTGCACAAGAAGAAACAGGGTGGTGGGCAGGTGTGGAAGGAGAGGATTCCAGGCTTGTCTATACCTGTGAATGACTCTCAGAAGACACTGAATCTCTGCACTTCAGTTTACTCATCATAAAAATGTGTCTAACAACAGATGTCCCAACTACCTCACAGGCTCATTGCTAGGCTCCAAGGAGGGAACAGATACAAAAAGCAGTTTAGGAGATGGAAAAAGCTGCATAAAGTGGTTCTCCCAAATCAGAAAACTGCAGAGACCTGCCATGGATCCTCAGTGGGTGGAGGTCAGACCAGAGGACAGTGACGACTCTCCTTGCTTCTTAAGCTCTCTCTGATTTGATGACACAAGGACTAGAATGAGCAGATTCGGAACTTTCTTTTTAACCTGAATGCCACTTTGACCAGGGACCAGCTCTGTGCCTATGCCAAGCCAATATGGGACGGATGTGGTGCAGGGGTAGGAGGATGGGAACAGACTACACATACTGAGGGCAAAGAGGAACCCAAGGCATTTGAAAGAAAGACCATCTCAGAGCCTCATGGAAGCCTTAATTCTTGCCAGCTAGCCTCTTGGTCACAAAAGATCACAGGCCAGTTACTGTAGCAACAATTCTCATCACAAGGTGTCCATGTTAGGATGGAGATGGAAATGACTTCCTTATTAAAAAAGAAGGAAATTAGGTTTTGGATGTATTTGCCCTCCACCCGAAGGGTTGCTCCTTTTATGAGGAGAAAGAAGCTGTTATTTATTATCCCAAGTATCCTTCTAATTCCTTCTAATTCCTAGCAGTGAAATTTCCAGACTTTCATTATAGACTCAGAGCAGTACACACTTGAGTTCTAAAACATCTGAGTGGAGTGTATTTTCTCCAGAGGACAAACAGTGTGGAATAGGAGATAAGGGGCATGAGATGAGGTGGTGAGGAGCCGTGTCAACTTCGGGCCGCCATCCAGCCTGGGAGAGAGCCCAGCCACCTCCACCCCTGATTCCCTGACCTGCTCCCATGGCGAAGCCCAGCTGTGTTATAACATCAGCCTTCCTCTGCCTACTAGCTGCTAGGCTGTCACCTTGGACAGTGCCTGTGTGGATGGTTTCCTGGTCCCGTGATTTCATGTGGTGAGGGCCCTCAGCTGATCAGGCTGCCCGGCTGAGATAGCTCGGCGGTGGACCGGGCCCTGCCATGATCAAAGACCTATCCTTGGTTTCTGACTTTTCGTAAAAGCTTATGTGGCCTCAGAAGGAGCAAAAGGAGAGGCCTTCCAAACTGTTGGGGGTGTGTGTGTATGTGTGTGCATGTACATGTGAACCCTTTCCTATAAATTAATTCGGCCTCAACAAGGACTTTCCTTCAAAGAGTTAAGTAATAAGACCTTAGGTGTGTGAAGTTCAGCTACCCTCCCTGTATGAAGCAACCTGGAGGGTCAGCATAAGGAGAACCTGCTGGTCTGTGTGGAGGGAGACAATTTAGTCGGGTACACGCTCAGTGAGTTGGAACCCAAGGGCCTTGGGAACACTGAGCCTGGGGGAGGTGAGTGACAGAAAGGCTGAAGCTCTCCCCGCAGAAAAGAGCAAAGGCAGAGCTCCGCAACTGGTGACAGGACACTGGATGAAGCCAGGGCAGGAGAAGTGGGGGCTACAGGATGAAGTCCAACCTAAAGTCCCACTGATGACGACGCTGGGCTTCTTGGGCCCATCCCAGGGCTGGGACATGAGGAGTACCCGAGGAGTGAAAGGTGTGCTCCAAGGGGCTGGGGAAGGCCTTCCCAGACCTGTCGCAGAAACCAGAGGTGAGGCGTGACAGACTCAGGCAGACACCAGGTTGGGGTTTACAAAAGGGACATGTGGGCTGAGCGCAGACAGCCGGGGCACTAATAGGGGAGGGTGGAGTCATCCCACTCCAGCTGGGCTTGCCTGGTGCCTCTCTGCCCATGTCTGCCTCGGCCTATCTCTTCCTCCTCCTCGTCATCTTCACTGTCGTCTGAGTCGCTGCTGCCGGAGCTTATGTCTTCCTCTCCTTCCTCCTCCTCCTCTTCCTCAGTCTCGTCCTCTCCACGCCCTGGTTCTTCATGTTTCTGGATTTCAGGGAGAGAAGGAGCATATTCATTGCGGTGGAGCGGAGGTTATTTGGGATCTTATGTTTCTCCCTTCGTAAGGAAACATTCATGGCCCCTTGGAATTCCTTTCCGAGAAAGATGTGGCAGTTTGCTTCTGTAAAGATTTACAGCCTTGGAAACCCTATAGAGCAGTTCTACTCTGTCCTATAGGGTCGCTATGAGTCGGAATTGACTTGATGTCAATGAGTATAGTTTGGTTTGGAATTCTTTTCCCTTTAAGGGTTTTATGAAAGTTAAGTTCTCTGGTGAAAGGGAAATCAGAGAGCTAAGAACAAAAATATAACAGCAGTAAATTCTAAGACATGGGCTCAAGGTAAAATGTTCTGTGTTTTAAACACTAGACATTTAAGCCAATCCCACCTGTCATTTAGTGACCCTTTCAGAACAAAATGTGTTTTCTGGACTTTCTAGAGAGCCTATTTGCATGAATTTTTCCAAGTCTAGGAATCCCTGGGGTGCAAATGATTAACATACTTGGCTGCTAAGCAAAAGGTTGGTGGTTCGAGTCCAACCAGAAGTGCCATGGAAGAAAGGCCTGGCAATATAATTCCAAAAAATCAGCCACTGAAAACCCTCTGGAGCACAGTTCTACTCTGACACACATGGGGTCACCATGAGCTGGAATCAACTCGACAGCAACTGTTTTGTTTTTCTTTTCCCCTAGGTCTAAGTGTTTGCTTCTCAGTGAGAGAATGACACAGGCTTGTACCCCTTTCCAGGTGGGACTGTAATGTCCCTGGGAGCAGAACACCTTTTAGGCCAAGACTCACATGTGCTGCCACTCAAAAATATTTTTTTTGGAAAAGAAAGGTTCATGGTCCCCACCACTCTCCATACCTGTCCCTCACTCCCTGACTTGCGTCCTTGGACTCTACCCTACTCTTTTCCAGTCACATTCCTTCCTCCCCACCTACCCCCCCGCAGCTTTTTGGTGGTTGAGAGCCTTTCCCAGCTAAATCTTACATCTGGCTTTATGTTCTGAGTTGGTGAACTAGGCAACAAATGATGTGTGTCCTCACTGTGCTTTATCCCCTTCTGAAATGCTTTCTTTTCTACCTCTGCCTTTCCCAAATCCTGTTCATGATGTAAGTGGCTTCCCTTGGGATTCCACATGTTTAGGGCAGGGGCCTTGGATACCACGGATAGATTCTGGGAGCTGTTGGCTAACTGGAAGGATATGAGCTTAAGAATTAGGCCACTCTGAGTTTGCATATTGGCTCTGTCATTACCAGCTGTGTGATTGAGCAATTGACTTCCCGTCTGAGTCGGTTCCCAGATTGGTATATAAGCATGATGACTCCTTCTTCACAGGTTGTTGGGAAGATTAAAAGAGGGGGTGTATAGAGAGCACCCTGTACAGTGTCTGGCGTAATGGGTGCTCAGGAAATAGCAGGTAGAAGATTAAAAGAGGGGGTGTATAGAGAGCACCCTGTACAGTGTCTGGCGTAATGGGTGCTCAGGAAATAGCAGGTGGTAGTGGTGGTGTTTTTAAGTTACTCCAAGCCTTGAAGTGAGCTCTGCGGATGTTCTGGAGTGAAGTCATCTCATTTACACTGTTAATCAAGAAATTTAATACAGAGTTCCTAGTGTGATTGAGCTTTGAGCGAAATACTACAGGGGAGGCAAGGGATAGATACCACGTGGCTGCTTGCCTTAAGACATTTCTGGATCTGTTTGTGGAATGAGAGCACTTCACACGTTTTAATCAGTGAATGCAGCTGGTGGGAAAGTATGATCCCTTCTGGTTGAGAGGGCTAGAGGAGCACAGAGAGGCGACAATCCAGTGGGGCTGGGATAGTTGGGGCAGGGCTTCCAGAAGGAGCGGACTAAGCCTAGGCTTGAAGCACAGGAAGGATTGAGCTGGGTAAAGAGGAGAAGGCATCCTGCCTGGACCTCCCAGCCCTTGGGTGAGGTTTACCTCCATTGGGTTGATGGTAATAGTCAGTGCAGAGTCATCCCAATCCATCTCGGCCTCCTTGGCAGCCTGAGTCTCCTGAGTGAAGTGCTGGTGGGCAATCCGGACCCGGTACACACCCATGGCCACGACAAACACGAGCATGCACACGGAGATGATGATGACCACCGTGGCAATGCTTGGGACCACTGAAACGAGGAAGGAACCACTCACGGCATGTGAACAGAGGCCTAGCTCATTCTTGGGATGGAGCATAAGTGAAATAACATCTGTGGGTAGGTTAAAATCTGCCCTGCCACTTCCTGGCTGTGGCACTCTAGGCCAGCAGCTTCTCCTGCTGGCCTTCACTTTCATCATCTATATAATGGACTTAATAATTCCTATCCCATGGGTACATGTGAGGAGTAAATGAAATAACCTACGTGACTTTCCAAGCTTATGACTAGACACATAATAGGTGCTCAATAAATGCTAGTCTCTCCTATCCCTTGCTTCTTTTCTCAAATTATAGGGGAGCACCCACCAAACACCAGAGATGATGGGGTTTAGTAGGGATGGACAGTGACACTATGGCAAGAGGTCAAACAGAAGTCCGGGCAGGGGTTTTGCAATAGGGTGTGCACATCTATGTGTGAGTGTGTGTAAGGGGTCAGGGAAAGCTTCATACAGGATGTGGCTCTAAGTTAGGCCTGAAAGGCCTAGCAAAATTTTGCCCCAGCCCTTTGTACAAACCTCTGTTATTACACGTTGTGTGTAATTTCTTCCTTATTTGCCTGGCTCTACTGAAGCTGAGTGCCCCAGAGGCAGGGCCTACATTTTCTTGATCACTGGGTTCCCTCCCTTGGCACTGGGCACCCATGGCTGCTGCACTATAACTGTCTGTTTAGTGGATCTTCTTGAGTCACAATAGCCACCTGTTGTCCTGAGGTCACTCCTCCCAGGTGCCCTACCTGAACTGTGCCGGATGCTGCTCCGAGACTCGGGGTGATGGACGGACTGGAGGAAGGGAGGCTGCACGATAAGGTGGTTGACATGCTCCTTGTCTGAGACACTGACCTCATGGAAGACACCGACCTGGGAAGATCAGGGGGAGGTGCTGTTGACCAGGAGTGGCAGGTAGGCCAGTTGCAGCAGCCCTCCTGAATGACCGAGGGCATGAATGGACGAGCCTGGGCTTCCCTAACAAAGGCAGGACTCACTCACCTCCAGGTTGAACTCATTGCTGGTGTAGCGACCGTTGAGTTCGGAGCACTTGATCCGGAACCGCCGGGCCTCGAGAGAAGCTGGATGCCAGTTGCGGTAGCGGACATGGTGCAACACCTGCTCATAGCGACTCATGGAGCCCACACCTGTGCCGAGAGACCACACCTGTCATCAGGAGCCAGGGGAGCTAGGCTGGGGCTTATGGACTGCCTAAATACATCAGCGGTAACAGCTTGAGTTGTTCATAGGCAGACAATGTACAGAAGCAGAAATTCCAAGGAGTCAATTCAACTGATCCACGCATGACATTTCTACATAGACTGGGCTCTGACTGGGATGTTTGGCCTCAGTGTGCCAAACATTGCGATAACATTTGCTGAAGTCAAACACTGTAAGAGAAGGCATCCACCTAGTTCTACGGATTTACCCAAGAGACGGGATAGGGGACAGGTCTTTAGGATGCTAGAGTAACTCACCAAAAGAAGGTCTAGAAATTTATGCTCTGAGGTCAAGAACTCCAAGCTGACCCCTGGGGCTTCTCAGTGCCTCTCCATGGGTGACAGAGCTGCCATCATACTCATGACTCCTTGGAAAAAGCTATTCTGAAAAGAGGCCACTGGGGTGCGGGTGCGAGTACGAAGCATGGACTTACCGTAGATGGAGTAGCCTGCGGTGGAGTTGGTGGCTTCCAGGTGTTGCTGGTGGAGCTCACTGTGGTTGAGCTCCAAGCACTCATGTCTTGGGTCCAAGTCCCCTCCAAGTACCAGAATATCACAGAAATCTAAGTTGTGAAGCATTTCTTCTAAGACTGTGTATTTGGGAGCTGTGGAACGACAGACACATGGAAAACATAGGCATGAGCAAGAGCTCAGACACTAGCCCATGGGTTAGGGCAGGGGGATCCTGCTTGGCTCCACTGCTTGGCTGTGGTGCCTAAGTGTTCACCATTAACGTGACTATGGGCTGAGAGTATGTCCAGGCAGCCTCTGAGGTTGGGTTGCATGAATTAGTGGGAAGGGCATGAATACTTTAGTCAAACAGATGTGGATTGAAATGCTAGCTTCTGCTACTGAGAAGCTGTATAGTGTTAGAGAAATTACCTACCACTTAGTTTCCTTATCCATAAAGAGGGCAAGGGTCTTGAGAGGAGTAAAAACAAACAGTGTTTGGCACATAGTAGGTGCTCAGTAAGCAATAGCTCTTATTTTGGGGACAGAGATAAATGCCCCTCTGCCATGTCCCTGTAGCTTTCTCCATGTGATCATTGTGTGTGTGTGTGTGTGTATCCATCCCCCCCACCAGACTCTGAGGTCCTCAAGGGCAGAAGCACCATCTTATTATGACTCAGTCCTCAGTGTTGAACCCAGGGGTTGCCATGGAGTGGTTACTAATACATATTGCTCAAATGGAGCTAGATTGCTAATATATTTAAATAATTAAGGAAATATGTTCCCCAGGAGGCACATTAGTGAGTTGGTCAGTCCAGTTGTCCTTGTCTGATTTTGAGGCTCTAAATGCCACAAAGGAATATCTGAGTGTTTGAATGCTGAACAGAGGTTGGCAGTCCTGAAGTAAAATCCCACTTTTAAAAAAAGTGCTTTGTATTTATGAAGTGCTTGCTATGAGTCAGGGCAAACATGATCCCAGCAGATGTTAAAATCAGGTGCCATGGAGTCACCTCTGAGCCCCGGTGACTTCATGTGTGTCAGAGTAGAACTGTGCTCTGTAGGGTTTTCAATGGCTGACTTTTTAAGAGGTAGATCATCAGGCATTTCTTCCAGGTTGCCTCTGGGTGGACTCGAACCTCTAACCTTTCAGTTCACAGCCGAGCGCATTAACTATTTGCACCACGCAGGGACTCCAAGAAACATGAAAAGGGGGTACTATTATTATTACCCTACTTCACCAGTGAGGAAATAGAAGGTTAAAGGGGTGAACTGAATTGCCCAAGGTCACATAATAGTAGGTAAAGAAGCAGAATAGCACCCATGTTCTTCTGGCTCCACTTTGGAAACTCTTAACCTCTGGGTCAGGAGTCTTCAAATGTCTTTGACTTTGTACCTCTTAATTGAAAGATTTGTGAACCTAGGCTTTTTACATATTTCTTTATTTATAGAGTATATACATGGACAAATATATTTTGTACATTTTTTACATATTTATTTATAGAGTATATACATGGACAAATATATTTTGTACATTATAAAACAGTTATGAAAATAGAAATTAAAAAGGATTAATTAAAGAAAATAGAAATTAAAAAGGATTAATTAAAGACAAGGGAATAATTTTGAATATATTTTATTTTGTTTAATTTTTTAATGATAGTAAAATATTTTTTGCTTTCACTGTTGTTATGGCGTGCCATCAAGTTGATTCTGACTCATAGCAACCCTCTAGGACAGAGGAGAACTGCCCCATAGGGTTTCCAAGGAGCAGCTGGTGGATTTGAACTGCTGACCTTTTGGTTAGCAACTGGAGCTCTTAACCACTTTACCACCTTGCTCTCACTGGATATGTATTATAAATAATGTTCTGTATGCTTAATTTTTAAATGCTTGGTAATCTCAATGACTTTTTGCTACTATTAGCAAAATATAAAACCACAATAATATACACTTGAGGCAAGGCCTATCATAGACAATAGTGTATGTATATCTCTATTTCAAATGGCCCGCTCATAGTTTTTGAGGTTTTTTTTGACCAACTTCTTAATCATGCTTGTTTCTACCTCCATGGAGGCTGACTGGGAGTTCACGCTTCGTAGGGAACCATATCTCCTAGAGTACGTGTTATCGCTGCTCTTTTCTCACTGTTCTTTTGTGCTTGCATGATGGGCATTATCTTGCGTTTACAGTTTCCTCCATTCCCACTGTGTTGAAGGGACTGTGCTGGGACCAGAGGCTTAGAGGTGAATCAGCCATGGTTGAGCCCTTGGGGAGCTCCTGTTCTGGTTCAGTAAACAGATCTTCACCATCAGGACTAAAACATGTTCTGTGTTAGAGGGAAGGGGCACACAGAGCAGGAGACCTCACTCGCCTGGGGTACGGGAGGTAGCGGGAAAGCCTTCAGGAGGAGGAGGTCATGAAGGTGGGGATGTTTGCCAGCACTGAAGAGGAAGGGGAGTAAAAGGGACCTTCCAGGCCAGGGCACAGAGCTGTGAACAGGGGTGGGGTGTGCAGGGAATTGAAGGCTGCACTGAAAGCATAAAGAATGAGCCAGCAGGGGCAAGAGAGGATGCAGGGTGGGTCACTGAGGCCCGGTGGCAAATGCCAGTAGGCAGCTTGTTTGAGGCACCCATAATAAGGACTCTAACAACGAGACTAAAATTTAAAGAATAATAGCTATAGGGCACTTGGCTATGTGCCCTGCATGCACCTCTCATAAACAGAAGGTGAAATGTGGGCCCAGATAATTGGTTTTCCCCGTGCTGCCTGTGTGCTGGAGTCAGGCGGAGTGAATCCACATGCACTCTGTTACTGCCCGCAACCACCGAGGTTCAGGCCGTTCCTTTTCACTCTGATTTTAGTTACAAATGAGGACACAGGAAGACGGAAGAGCACAGACCTAATGCACTTTGGCATGTAAGTAGGAAAACTGCCCTGCCCGGACAGGTGGTAAAACACCATCTATTTTTATGAGCTGAGAAGGGCTGCTTCGCCAGGCACCCCATTCACCAGGGACCAGAGTGGTTTAAGGCAATGGGTAATTAGGATTATTATAGAAGCAGCCCTTCAAGGACTCAGGCCCACTGGCGCCAGCACATCATTAGCAGCCACTTTTGGAAGTGGGGGGTGGGGGAGAGCTGAAAGTATTTTCTTGGAAAAGGCAGCAAAGGACAGTTCTCAAACAGATATTTCCCTGAGTAACAAATGAAAGGTTTTCCCCTCCTTCCTTCCTCTCTCCCTCCCTTTCCTTTCTCCCTCCTCCCCCTTCTTCCCTTTCCTTCCTTCAGTTCTTTTTTCACTACCAGCATATAGTGTGGCTTTCAGTGCAACTGCATGCTTCTCCCTGGCAGATAATTCATTACTTTCACTGAACAACCTTCCCAATAATGAAACTCTTGGAAATAAAAGTTTCCTGGGAGCTTCAAGTACTATTGCTGAAATGACACCTACCTTTGACTGTATATAAGTAGAGATGCGGCTACATATATATATGTATATTTTGGGTTGTGCTTCTTTAGCTTTTCTTCTCATTATCAAAATAATACATGGTCATTATAGAACATTTTTTACAGCTGCAGAAAAGCGGAGAGTGGCAGAGACAGACTGGCTGTCACTGTGATTCTCAGAGTCTCATTGTTTGCATCAGGCATATATCTAGGCATTCTTTTTCCTTTCCATGATTGAGATCACTCTGTGTGTGGATACTATGTCATTTGGCACCTTGCTTTTTTGCACTTATCATTTAGCACGGCACCTTCCCTCCAACTTCATAACACTTACATGGGTGTGCTATAATTTGCTAAGCCATTCCTCTCCTGTGGGCCATTTGGGTTGTTTCCAGAGTTTTTTGTTTAATTAAAAAAATTTTTTTTGCTCTTATAAAAATGATAAGTGCAGAAAAGATCGAAATTGTCAAGGAATTCACTCTACTTGGATCCACAATCAACACCCATGGAAGCAGCAATCAAGAAATCAAAAGATACATTGCATTAGGCAAATCTGCTGCAAAAGACCTCTTTAAAAGTGTTGAAAAGCAAAGATGTCACCTGGAAGACTAAGGTGCGCCTGACCCAAGCCATGGTATTTTCAATCCCATCATATGCATGTGAAAGCTGGACAATGAATAAGGAAGACCAAAGAATAATTGATGCGTTTGAATTGTTGTGTTGGTGAAGAATATACCATGGACTGCCAAAACAATGAACAAATCTGTCTTGGAAGAAGTACAGCTAGAATGCTTCTTAGAAGCAAGGATGGCGAGAATACATCTTACATACTTTGGACATGTTGTCAGGAGGGATCAGTCCCTGGAGAAGGACATCATGCTTGGTAAAGTACAGGATCAACGAAAAAGAGGAAGACCCTCAATGAGATGGACTGACACAGTGGCTGCAACAATGAGCTTAAGCATAACAATTGTGAGCATGGCGCAGGACAAGGCAGTGTTTCATTCTGTAGTACGTAGGGTCGCTATGAGTTGGAATCACCTCAACGGCACCTAACAACAACATCATTATAAATTACCCTGCTATGGTGAACAGTTCCACTGTCTTGAAGTATGATTTCACAAGGCTGTAGGAAATTAAGGCCCACCTTCCCCACAGCCCCATTTGTACCTGTCCCTGTGGTTTTCAAGTCCCTGGTGGCCTCAGTTTTGGCAAAGGTGCTCACGATCTTGATGTCTGGGAAGAGGATCACCCCTCTGGCACTTTCAAACTGCGTGGCAGGCCTCCAGAAGCGATCTGTGCCTCGGAGGGTAATGTGGGGTTCGGTGGCCTGCAGAACCATTACATAGGCATCCACATCGGGGATGCTGATGCACACGTCTTCTCCAAAGCACCTGGGAAAACAGCTTCTGTCATGGCAGGAAGAGCCCGCGATGAAACCCTCTGTCATAGCACTAAGGACAAGGAATTGCCACCTCTAGTTCTTTACGGCGCATCTTCACTGCCTAAGGGTCTCCAAAGATGTCGGCAGACATTCAAACTGTAAGCTACATTTATAGTTAAAACTACTAGCAATCTAGGAACTTAAAAAAGATTGGCTCTTGGGAGAAACGGGAATTTCTATATGAGCAACAAGTAACCGTTAAACCTTTAATTATCCTTTAAACAAGTAATCAATGGCAACCTTAATTAGGTAGCAGTGGCTTGTTATTTATGTGCATTAGTATTTGGTAAGCAAACTGTCTAACTGGCTGGCTACAGCCGTCTTACTAAATGAGACCCCACGGCAAAACTCTCCTTCCGCAGTGTGTGTGCTGTGTCTCTATGAGGATCTCACACAAGTGTGCCTCTCCCAGGTGTAGGGCAGAATGTGATTGTAATCTTGCTCCTTTTCCTGATAAAAAACAAAAACAGTTGCCGTGGAGTGGATTCCAACTCATGTTGATCCCATGTGTGTCAGAGTAGAACTGTGGCTGATTCTTTGGAAGTAGATCACCAGGCCTTTCTTCTGAGGTACCTCTGGAGGGGACTAAAAAACTCCAACCTTTTGGTTAGCAGCTGAGGGCATTAACCATTTGCACCACCCAGGTACTCCTTATCTTACAATTGTTGTTTTTAGTTGCCATCGCATCACTTCCAACTCATGGAGACCCCATGTGTGCAGAGTAGAACTACTCTATAGGGTTTTCAAGACTGTGACTTTTCAGAAGCAGATCACTAGGCCTGTCTGGGTGGGTTCCAACCATCAACCTTTCAGTTAACAGTTGTTGAGTGCTTAACCATTTGCACCACCAGGGCTCCTTCTATCTTATGATACCCATTGCCATCAAGTCTATTCTGACTTATAGCAACCCTAGAGGACAGAGCAGAACTGCCCCATAAGGGTCCCAAGGAGCAGCTAGTGGATTCGAACTGTCGACGTTTTGGTTAGCAGCTGAGCTGTTAACCACTATGTCACCAGGGCTCCTCTATCTTATAACAGTAAGGATTAAATGCAAATGGTGTATAGAAAAGAAGATGAGTCAGGGCCTGGATCATGGTCTGAGCTCAGGAAATGTTGGTATGATCTGACTCTCTCATCAGACCTTATCAGGGTGTGTGTGCCATTGGCACTCTCTGCTGGTCCTGTAGTCCAAAGACCTAGGCTGAGGTGGGGAATCCCAGGGTCCAGACAATGCTCTAGGAATCCTGGGTGGGCTTCAGATGGTGGCAGCCATCCTCTTGTGTCCCTTGGGAAAATTCCTCAGGAAAGGCTTATCTAGCTGGACCCTGTGCTGAGCCACTCCATCCCCTTCTATGGGGTGGGTGAGACTGCTGGGGTTGTGGTGGGCTCCTGCTCCCAGTTTTCTCTGGATCTCTGCCACATCAACCCAGAGCACCCCCCTTTCTTGGCCACTTTACAGAAGCCTGGTCTCAGAGCTGGAGACTGGCCAGCCTGGGACCCTCTCCTTCACTCCAGTATGGAGCTGACATGGAGATACTGCTCCCTGCCCCCCAGACCTCCAGGGGTGGTTTGTAGTGTGAAGGTAGGTGCCCCTTCTCCATTGCTCTAGAAGTATTGAATGTAATGGCCACCTGTGGGTTTTATCATTACATCTGTCCCAGGCCCCAGCAAAGTGGCAGGCAGAAAGCCTATCTTTCCCACCCTTCTTCCTCCCTTTAGAAGTTGTTCCCCTGGTTCTAGGTGCCTGAAGATGCTGCTTCCACCTCCCAGGAGTCCCTCTGAGATCCCCTACCTAGCTGCCCTCTCAGGTGCATGCTGTGGCTGAGAAGCAATGACAGGCCAGCAAGTGAGGTATCCAAAGGCTTCTGTAATAGTCTCATCTCCTTAATTTGACTGTGCTCTCTGAGGGTAAGAACCATAACATCACTTTCTCTTGCATACCTGCTGGATTTAGGGGCTCTAAAAAGCTGGGTTGATTAATTTAATTCAATTTAATAAACATTTGTTAAGCACCAGACCCTGTATCTTAAATCAGAACACTTAAAACCCAGATCTCTGGGACTTTATAGGAAACAATACCTTCTAGGCATTAGATCAGATACAGTATAAAATAAAGAAAGGTGAATTTGCATTGGCAAGATAACAGAACATTTTCCTTAAAATGAAAACACAGATCCATTGACGTGTCCTCATTGGGAAAGCAGAAAAGCTGACGACAGCAGAAAACATGGAACCCTATTTTGCAAGGGAATATTCTCAAGGGACCATCCCTGTTGTCTTGGTTGGACCCAGGGTGACCACTTACTGGACTTTGGAAGAGACTTTCAGGCGCCGCACACCCGCTGTAGGGAACTGCCTGGAGTTGATGTAGGAGACCTTCTGGAGGGCGCGGTTGATGTTCCCAATGTCGTCACCTTCCATCACCAGGATGGACTGCGAGGGGTTGAAGTGATACTAGAAGACAGAGGAGGTCGGGAATCATGGAGAGACTGAGCAATGATGTACACAGTCCCATGGAAATCTTCCATTTCCATGAAAAGAGCATTAAGGCCACCACCAAACCAAAAAAAACCAAACCAGTTGCCATTGAGTTGATTCCAACTCATGGTGACCCCCATGTGTGTAGAGTACAACTGTGTTCCACAGGGTTTTCAAAGCTGTGAGCTTTTGGAAGCAGACCACCAGGCCTTTCTTTACAGGTGCCTCTGGGTGGGTTCAAACCACCAATCTTCTGGTTAGTAGTTGAGCACTTAAATGTTTGTGCCACTACGGTCATCTCCAAAGCATCAGCAAATAAAGTAATTGTGTGCACAGATGATTGTGTTTAACCCCTCAAGCAGTTTCTGTTGCTCCCTGGTGGGCTTTGGGACCTGTGATGGTTAAGGTTGTGTGTCAGCTTGGATAATGATGTAATTTGGCGGTTATGTAATGATGTATTTATCCTCCATTTTGTGATATAACGTAATTACCTCCATGATGTGAGCTGATGTGATCAGCCAATCAGTTGTAAGGGGGGTTTCCTTAGGGGTGTGACCTGTATCCAATATATATGGATATCCTGGCAAGGATTGCTGGCTTTTGCTTGTTCTGGATTCTGCATCCAGCTTGTCATCACCTGACTTTCGGTTCTTGAGACTTGAGCCAGCAGCCTGCTGTATCGGGTGACGATCTTGGGATTTGTCAGCCTCTGCAACTTGTGAGCCAGCAGCCTGCTGTCTGACATGTTGATCTTGGGTTTGTCAGCCCCTGCAGCTACATGAGTCAGGAGAAGCCTCCAGCCTGACCCACGGACTTGCCTGACCCACGGACTTGGGACTTGCCAGCCTCTACAACCACGTGAGCCATTTCCTTGAGATAAATCTCTCTCTCTCTCTCTCTACGTTTCATTGGTTTTGCATCTCTAGAGAACCTAGCCTAAGACAGGATCCTTCCCTAGGAGGTTGCCCCAGGAATTATAATCTCCTGATAATATCAGCCTGAGCAACAGGATCATATTCAGAAAACCCAGTCACAGTGCTGTTGCAGCTCAGCCCTTGGTGAGGGGTGGCCCATGCTCTGTGCTACCCGTGTGGCCCTGGCCAGCAACTCTCAGCCCATGGACCACCTGCTCCCTCAGCTAACAGCATGGAAACCTGGGACTTTGGCTCCTTCACTGCTTTTGTCTTTGGCCTTGGACTGCTCCTCAATTCATCCAACAGCATGGAAACCTGGGACTTTC